TCTTTACTGAAAGAGTGGTTAAACATCGGAACGTGTTGCCCAGGGAACTGGTTGAGTCACCATCCCTGGAAGTATTTAAAAGACGTGTAGATGAGGCGCTTAGGGACATGGTTTAGTGGGCACGGTGGTGTTGGGTTGACGGTTGGACTCGATGATCTTAGAGGTCTTTTCCAACCTTAATGATTCTATGATCTCTATGATCTGTATCACATTAGGACTCAGATTCTACAATAAGCAAAGTGATCAAATTGTCCCTCAGACATGTAAGTGAAAATCTATTCTAATATATTCTGATACAGTACCATAGTCAATAGTGGCCATATATACATCCTGGAAGCTGTATCATTTTCTCCAAATGTGTGATTAAGACATCAGAGAAGCGTTTTAACACTTGTTTAACATTAGTAGCTGTGAAACTGCATACTGTGAAGAACTATATTAAATTACAGTAAGCCAAATACAGTGAAATTATGAATCTATAATTATTTACACATATGGTGATGCAAATCCATCACACTCAGGTTTTAATTGCGGAAGTAAAATTAAAGATTTTTTTGACATATTATATTGCAGCTTTAAAAAAAAAACAACCAAAAAACATTAAAGTACAGATGTCCAAACAGAAGAGGAAAAAAATGCCATGCATACTTGAACAAACAGAAATGCCAAGAAAAAGTCATTACTGAATAAGATTCTTATGCTATTCTACCTCTGCCTTGTAAATAAAGCAGAAGCCAGATTTACCTAACTCCAAGCTGCTGTAAGAATTAAAAAAATAATTACATCTTAAGGTAGATACTCACCATTGTGCTATTTGCTTCTACATAGCTCAAATCAGGAACAGAGTTTTTAGCATATACAGAAATAGTCACTTCTCCTCCAGTCTGGTGCCAATCATGCCTGCATGGAACTACCTTCTTCCCCTATTTAAGGAAAAGTTACAAAGAAAAGACTTAAAATTGCATTCAGGAGTATTTTTACAAGATTAATGAGGATAAAACCCAGGGCTATTTTAATAGCCAATAAGCACAGCTAATAAAGGACTATATTGCGTGTTCACGGGAGATTGGAAGACTCCACTTATATCTTTTTTTTTATGAAGTATTTCAGCTACTGGTCCCTGACAAACATTAGAAGTGAGAAAACCAATGCTTACGACAGAGACTACAGTAAGAAACTCGGACATTGTGATAGAAAATAAAAAATAAAAATAAAAACCAAAACAACAAAAAAAAAGATGTTACTTGTTGGATTAACTTCCTTTCCAAGACTACAGTTATCCAGCAGGTAGTAGAAAGGAACCAATCAAAGAAAAAGAAAGCCATGACTCCAAGAAACTTTCATATTACTGCAAAAAATTATTGAATATTACCCTCTGTTCTCTGATGCAGGAAAAAGAAACAGTTAAAAAACCCAAAATAACAGCAAAAAGGTAAAGTAAAAAACCCCGTTAGCTAGAAGCCCATTATCCCAATATAGACACAATTAATACACACATAGTTTCTTAACATCTGGGTAAATTCTTTACAAGAATACTCTCCTGCTTTAGGCTTACAACTTCAGCTTTTTTTTTTCTAATCCCTCCTTTCTGTATTAGAAAATACTTCTTAAACACAAACATAAATCTTCAAAGCCAGGAGCAATTCCATGACTTAAAGGAAGTAAAGGACTTGTGAAGTAATTGTTACAGAATGAGGTAACAGAACTATACTGTCTATAATATACCTTTATTTCGTTCTGTTAAATGTTACTGATGTTTGCAGTATCAAACCCATTTTGCCTCAGCAATAGACAATATATTCGTAACAAGAATTTTGTGTCCACCTGCATCCAACATGTGACCTGCTAAAGTTTTTGAAGTGTCTATTCCATTATTACATTCTATAATATTCTCTAAGAACCTTTTTAAACCTTGAATGGAAATATTTTTCACCTTGTAATTCTGCAGTTTGTTCCCAACATTGCAATGAAATACCTACAAACTAAACAGATGCTCTCTCTGGATTTGTTATACTGGTAGCCAAACCAAAACACTGCATTAGATTCAGACCAGAAAAATATTCAGACGTGTAAACAGAATCCAGATTAGACAGAAAGAGACCCTTCCATCCCCACCCATGGAACCTCATCGTCCTTATCTGCCCTGCCATCCCTACCTAAACAACAACTCAACTACCGTGAATGAAACTGGAAGTACAGTTATTTTACTACAGAACATGTACGGCTGCTCGCTTCACGGTCTTTGGGGGAGGAAAGACTTCTAATCATCTTATTTTAAAGGAATATATGGAATATATTCTATATAGAATTCCATATATTCTATATGGAATACCATAGACTTCCTTAACTCACAAAGCAGAAGACTGCTATTTTTTTCCCCTGAGTTTGCCAAAAACATGTTTACTATAAAATAGTGAAACTATATGTATCACTAAAATGAAAGGTTGTACTCTATTACAAGTAAACTTCTACCACAGATTACTTCAAACTCCATTTCTCTGTTGTCATGCTGTGCATAATATCCTCCATATTATTTCAGAAGTAGCGATCTGTAACAGCTTGACCACAGTAATAACTCAATCAAGCTACTAACTACATTTGAGTATTCAAAATTCAGAACAGCCAGCTACAGAATGTAACATTAATGCTACTTACTGCATCCTTTTTAGTCCATACATGTGTTCCCGTTGTGCAGCCTTCTTGAGCTAAAAACGTATTGAAGTCAGATGTTTTTCTTTTACAACAGCTCCAATACTTCATCCTTGAAAGTTTGCAAAGTAATTAAAAAACAGTATTTAGGACACTATTTACTGTGTGTACTTAAGATCTTTCCTTTATGCAATATTACTGTTAACATTGCCATTTTTGACTGAAGAAATACAGAATGAAAACAAGGCAACATGTACAAAGAAAGCAGGAACATATAATAGACTAATTAAAAAAATTGAAGTTAGCTGAATACTAACCCTTCATGAAATATAGGTACACCAGAATGGTATATACATACTTCTTCTGTGCTGTGTGGTCCTTCGTACGTCTAGTAAAACAAAGCATTTAAAGTGTATTACTGTTACAGGATGTGGACTAAAGGAAAGAACAGAACAAAACAAAACACAACCCACAAGAGAAACATTGAACGAAGTACTACAAAGCTTTTGCATAAATAATCTAAATCTAATGGCTTGTCCTAGCTTTTCAAAATAACCATTCAACCTTCATTCACAAAAGGTTCCCTGGCACTCCTTCTAACAAGCTATACTTTGTATTAGTTCAATGGAGTACATCAAGGGTGACATCATCTATGCTCATAAAGGTCACTTTAGATCCTCAGAGATATCCGTCTTTAAAAATACTCTGAATATTCAGAGAAAACAAGTACTTAACTGCAAAATAAATTAAATTTATCATTCATAGACACATGGATTCTCAAAAGGAACTAAAACAATATACAACTCTGCCACTCAATATCATATCAGTTCTTCGTAACACAAACAAGAAACTGCTATAAATTCTTCTCCCACCAGTTTCAGTAGAAAATGCAAAATCTGTCAGATGTCCAATGAAATACCTATTTAAATTCTACTGTCCCATTCTGTACAACACAAGGGTGTCAATGTAAAAAAATCTCAGTTTAAATGACCATGTAATATAAAGACTAATTTTGGTGCTAGAAGTATTAAAACATTTTCTTTGTGGATTCTTGGTGAATGGAGTTCAATCCAGTTGGTGGCCGGTCACGAGCGGTGTTCCCCAGGGCTCAGTTTTGGGGCCGGTCTTGTTCAATATCTTTATCAATGATCTGGATGAGGGGATCGAGTGCACCCTCAGTCAGTTTGCAGACGACACCAAGTTGGGCGGCAGTGTTGATCTGCTCGAGGGTAGGAAGGCTCTGCAGAGGGACCTGGACAGGCTGGATCGATGGGCCGAGGCCAACTGTATGAGATTCAACAAGGCCAAGTGCCGGGTCCTGCACTTTGGCCACAACAACCCCACGCAGCGCTACAGGCTTGGGGAAGAGGGGCTGGAAAGATGCCTGGCGGAAAAGGACCTGGGGGTGTTGGTCGACAG